CACACACACACACACACACACACACACACACACACACACACACACACACACACACACACATCTACAGTGTTAATACTTCAGTAAGAAAGACTGGAGTTTGTAGAGCCATGTGAATAAACAAAAATACTTTTATGTAATACTTTTACTGTACTTTGAACTTTTGTCGTCAGTGTTAGAATTATAAGAGTCAGCCAATGTAATCGACTCTGAAAAAAACTAACTAATGTGGTCCCAACCAGGATTAAAGTGGAGTTTATTTAATCTGTTAATGGCTGTGTCCAAAACGGGGGGACGAGTCCTCCGAAGGCCGAATTTGTCAAATGCTTACATCACAGCGCCGTGACAGAGGCTGTCCAAAACTGAAGACTCATCCCATGTAGATGACAAATGTGTCCTTCCTTTGGCCCGAACTGAAGGACTGGTCCGATGGATCCTTCCCGGCCCACCATATGCCATAATGCATTTCGGCCCAACCGGAGATTTTTTTTAATCGAGAGAAAATAATATGTTTTAAGTAAAAATATGGCAGTATAAAAATTTAAAATTTCAAGCAGTTGTGTTGTTAATACTTTTATCATTTGTACAGACATGTTTTTAAATATTATTTTTGTCAGAAAAAATGACGGGTCCATTAAATCTTCCAATATTGCCTTTTTTATCAAAGTCTTTTTATTATTTTTGTTACACAAACTACAGAAAAACAAACAAACAAGAACACAAAACAAAACACACACACCCAAAATCCCTCCCATCCCTCCCCTCCTATACCGGATCTACTGCAACAACATAAAACCATCTTGTATTCATAAATCAGTGATATAATGAACAGGTTTGTGTACATGAAACAATATTTGACCTTTACACAAAATTATCTGCTGAAATTTTTTTCTACGTACGAAATAAATGGCTGCCAGATATCAAAAAATTTGTTTACAGATCCCTTAAGTGTATATCTAATCTTCTCTAAATGAATGTAAGACATAACTTCTCTTAACCAATGACCATATAKTGGAGGATGTGGATCCTTCCATCAAAGAAGAATAAGTCTTCTAGCCAGTAGAGAGCAGAAAGCTAACACCGTCCTCTGATGTTCACTGAGAGAAGCTTCTGCTGGAGCCACCCCAAAAAGTGAAATGAGTGGTGATGGATGAACAGTTCGTCCAAATAGTCCTGAAAAGGTGTCAAAGATGCCTTGCCAATATCCATGTAGCTTTGGACAGGACCAGAATGTGTACAGAAGTGTGGCAGGAGATTGTCTGCAGCGATCACACGTCGGATCCAAGTCCTTTTTGAATTTGCACAATCTGTCCTTAGGACAGGGTCGTCGTCTCTCAACCAGTACAGTAAGGCTCTAATGTTGGCCGCCCAGTAGT